CAAAAAGCATCCCAGTGCCTAACAAACTTGAACCCTTCCCCCCTACACCATCGTCTCATCCACGCATTGAGACTCCTGATCTGTGCCTGTCTCTCTAGTCCTGCGCATGGAACAGGTAGCACTTCTGAGAAGGCTATCTTGGAGGTCCTGGCCTTGAGTTTCCTGCCCAGCAGCCTAAATTTCTCCTCCAGGACCTCACGACTGCATTTCCCCACATAGTTGGTGCCGACATGCACCACGACCACTGGCTCCTCCCCAGCACTATCTACCAGCCTATCTAAAACACACGTAATGTCCGCTACCTTCGCACCAGGAAGGCAAGTCACCATACGGTCAGTACGCGGGTTCGCCACCCAGCTGTCTACCTGCCTAAGGATCGAATCACCCACTACCAAGAGCCCCCCTCCCACCCTGCTCAGGGATGGTTCCTTGGTGCAAAAGGATACCCGCTCACCAGCTGGGGAAGAGGTCCCTTCTGAGGGCACATTCCCCTTATCCTCAGCACGGTGCCCTGCTTATCCGAGACCCTCATGCTCCCTGACAGCAGCAGGGCTGCCAGATCCAGAGTGGGACATATCTATCAAGTCCCCAAGAGTCTTTTCAGTGTGCCTAACTGACTGTCTCTGCTTCTCCAGGTCAGCCACCTTGGCCTCAAGGGAGCAAACATGTTCCCTGAGAACCAGGATCTCCTTGCACCGAGCACACACCCAATACTTCTGCCCAGTGGGCAGATAGTCATACATGTGACACTCCGTGCAAAACACTGGATAGCCCCCATCCCCCTGCTGGCATTCTGGCTTCATAATTCTTTTAAAATAAGTAAATATAATCCCCCTTTTAAAACCCTTTGTATTTATGTGTTTTTTCTTGTCGAAGTCAAATTACTTTCCGGGGAAGACAAAGAGCCTAGGGCCTTGGCTTTCTGGCTCTTCTTGGGCTTCTTACAGAGCCCCTAGGCTAAGAGCCACAGGCAAAGAGCCCTTTAGCTCGCCCTTCGGCTCGTGCCTCTGGCAAGGTGCTTTCTTAAATACTGAATTACAGTCAGTCCCAGTCAAACAATGCCCCTTCCTCTCCCTCTCTCAATCAGCCAGGACTCTGCAACAACGCTAAGCGCTTCCACACACTGCTAAACATAGTTTTCCCATACAATATCCTCAGCTGGATCCCCTCAGCTGAAAGCAAGTAAAGAAAACACTCACCCCCCTAGCAGCTCTCTCTCTTGCTCCTGCTCCGAGCTCAGCTGGGAGCATGCTATGTGCGCAGCCCTTGGTACATGCAGCTGTGGTTTTGTGTGAAAATGAGTGTGCATATTTTCCAGCCACACTACATGCTACCTGAAACCCAGATTTCCAAGACTATGTATTCAAATGTGCTAAAACTCCAAAATGTGCACCTTGCCCCTTTCCCACAAAATGGTGATTGTGCATGCCAAGAGGCTCACATGTGGTGAGCTCTCCCGGAACACAAGATGTTTTAAAACTGGTTTTATTTATTTCATGGTGTATTATAAATAGACAAAGGCAGGAGCACAGGATGGATGGATGGGGGGGGGAGAGAGAGAGAGGCAGAAGCACCAGAAGTTAAGGAAATGGTGCCCTTATCCAAGGGTTCTCTTTTTAAAACTCTTTTAAAAAGTTCTTTACACACAGAATATATGTTCAACAGAAAATTCAATGAGATAAGCTTGCTATCAAAACAGTGTAGTAACTCACAATTCTTTGAGGATAGCAGAATACAAATGATTAACTTAATCACTGCCTTCGAGCATTTTGTGTAAACCAAAATTAGTTGTCCCTTAGATTCACCATTTGGCTCCAAACATCAATATTATTTAAATACGTTCTTTTAAAATAAGCTATCAGTTTAGTCATACAGAACATACCTTTCAGCTTCTGTAGCCACTCTGTTTTTACTTGGAAGAGAATTTGTCTTCCAGTGTCTGACAAAAATATTACGAGCAATTACTGTTGCATATGGGACCAATTCTTGAAGAGAGGACAGTGTGCAGACCACAGAGTTTAACAATAACTGTTCTGATGTACAAGCAATTGTATAGCCTGTACCTGCTGAAATGCTCACTACTAGTGCTGTCTGATGTTTTATAACTCACAAACACTCCCACCACATATGACAAAAGTAGCATTATCTTTTTCTACAAAACCAACAATTCTTTGTGGTGCTACAGATTTGGGGAGCGTCTGTTTGGTGACAGGTACCATTGGTTTGCCATTTTAATTCTGCTCTCGTTCAAAGAGAGATTCACTGAAAAGGTTGACCCTCTTGTAAAAAAAGTGATTCCATATAACTGAATGTACTCAGTGTTTGTCCAAATATTCGGTTGCCATAGTTTAGTTTATTTTTAGTTTATTATTATGGTCTTAATACCAGCATACAATCTAAACATAATATGAGAAAGAAGGAAAAAACAGAGATAATATACAGAATAAAAATCTAAATGTAAGAACTTTTAAAATGTGATTCCCACAATTTAAGAATCAATGCACAGAACTCAGCAACTGAATGTGTAATCTCTGTATTCTTATCTGATAGAAGCCAGTGAAGCCTTGTTTTGTTTGTATTAATGTGACCAGGTATCCTATCAACTAATGGGGTAATAATCTTAAGACAAGCCTCTTTGTAGAGTGGGCAACTGAAAAACATATGCTCTGCCGATTCAACCTCGCATGAAGTGCATGAACATAGTCTTTCATGGTAGGGGATTTTATTGTACCTGCCTTGAATAACTGCAGATGGAAGGGCAGATATTCTGTTGCCATTTCGTGCAGCTATCAGTGCTGTGCCCTAAGTGTTGGGTCCAAGTGTCGCTTTCTGAGGTTTTTTTTTAAAGTAGGGTGAGTATGCATATGAGAGAGAGACTACTACTCTTTCAGTCTCTTGCACGTAAATCTGGTGTTATGCCATTACCTTTGACCTGCAGTTGGCAAGTTGCCCCATACAGGCTCAACAGTCAGCAAATGCTTGAAATGGTTGTCTCTGTCCGCTCCAGTAGCAGCAAATGAGTTGCCTGTAGCAGAGATGTATGACTCACTAGAAAAGAACGTTGGATTTACTGAAATGGAAGCTCCTTCCTGGAACTCACAGCTACAATATTTAATGTGGTATAAACACCAGAGAAGGTCAGCAATCACAATATTGTGAAGTTCAGCATTAGATGAGTGGAAGGTTTCCCTGGAAGTCCAACACAACTGTGTCTGGTTTGAGAAGAGGGAACCTCAGATTTGAGTCAAATGGAATCTGAAAGACAGAGAAAGAAAGGTCAGAACGCTTAGATATTATTCAAACCCACAATAACAGGAGCTCAAAAATCTATACCGCAGATTAGGCAAGGTGCCATGACATCTAAGAGGATGCCAGCATGGTTAATGCGCAAAGTCATGGAAACCCTAAAAGTTAACAAGAAAAAAAAAGCCTGCCTCATACGCGAGAGGATGTCCTTCACATGTCCTTCAGAGGTGGTTTGCCATTGCCTGCCTCTGCGAGGCAACCCGGGTCTTACCTGGCGGTCTCCCATCCAGGCATTGATCAGGGTTGAGACTGCTTAGCTTCTGAGGTCTGACAAGATCGGGCTAACCGGCTGCATCCACAGGCAACAAGAGAATATTAGGAACCAGAGTGCTAAAACATTAAGACAATAAGGATTTTCTGTGCATACCTCAAAAGCAGGAAACTGGCAAGGGAGACAGGAGCTCTGAAGACAGGTGAAAGGGTTGCTGAAGAAAGACCCTGAGAGGCTGCAGAGAAAACTGAATTCTCCATGTTTTCACATCTGAGTCACCCTTTTCAGGAAGGCTGTGTCCAAAGGACCAGTCAGTGAGCGGAAATGACCAATAAAGTTTTAGGGCCAAAACTGATGATCTCTGAACACAAATACTCCATGCTCCTGTAAAAACAGATACCATTCCAAAAGATTGGAAGGCAGTAAATGAAACACTTATGTTTCAAAAAGAGATCTAGAGGAAATCCAGGAAATTACAGGCAGAATGACTCTTCTGGGTAAATGGTGGTAACTGTTATGATAGTATTGTTAACTACATGTACAAATGAGCTGGAAGGAATATACTCATGAAGGAAAAAAAGTTGCTCTTAATTAAAGAGTCTCCTCGTCAATAGCCTAGGCCAGTGTCCACTGTCACCCCACACAGAACTTTTATAGCATCTCCGGGTGCCCCACATGCAGCCTCCAGCCACATCACGGGATTATGGCAGGGCCTGACAAATCCCAGGCGCCAGTCTACCACGGAACATAGAAATTTCATTGGGGAAATTAGTATTTTCAGCAGTGATCTTATTGTAGTATCTCTCAGGGATCCTCAGGAAGAGTCCAAACTTATCATTTCACATCAGAATATGTTTTGTGGTGCGGCATAAAAATACATATGCATGAAGTTGTTGTCATGGCTTGTTTATATGCTAACTTTACACCATTCAGTGATGGTGGATGAATTCATTTCTTACCCAGTTGCTTTAGATTGTCTCTGATATTCAGTACTCCGTTAAACAAGAGATTTCTAAAGCGATAATGGAATTGTAAGAAATTGAGGAGAAAATAGGTTAGGGTTAGATGTTAGCTTTTCATTGTAGTGGTGACAAACATGGTGACCCCAAATTTATTTAAATGCTACAGCAATTTTGTCAAAGCTTTTTTTTAAATTTTAAACTGTTTATTGAAGATTGAAATTAAATACAATGCAGTACTTGGTAAAGACTGGGGTTGTCAGCAATGCTCCCTCTAAGCTGTGGAGTCTTGTGAGCAAAAATTCTACTTTGTGAGCTACCGGCATTAAAGTTGTGCGCGAGCGATTTGGCTACTGCATAAATTAGTTTGCTCTGGAGCCATCTTTCCTGAGCTGAGACAAAAATGCCTGAGCTGGAGGCTAAAAAACTAAGCTAGCTCACACTAACTCAACTTAGGGGGAACACTGGTTGTCAGCTTTGAGTTCTCCTTGACGAAGAACTGTTGGTTCATTTTGTGTTTGCAGGTCACATTAATCCTGATTCAGATGAATACAGGGGAATGCCTGGGAATACACCCCATCCCCAGTGACGTGCATAGCCATGGTGTACTTGCGGACAAGCGACCCTTCATCCACCCCGGCAGCAGAGAAAGGAGGAACGTGATGTGTAGGTCAGGGTACTACCCCCATCCAAACAGAACTCACTGCTGCATGCTATGCCACAAAGGTATGAACAAATGAAAAACAGAGTTACCTCTAGTATTGTTGCGTATTCTGTGTCTCCCCTTATTGACAAATCACCTTTTTCCTGACTCTACCTTTTAAATGGTTCAAATTGTGATTGCACAAAAAACCCAAAAATAACGGCCCCGTTCACACGGAGCATTTCCCGCGCTAAAGATATGGATGGTAAGCGGATTTTCGGCACGCAATCACACCGCAACATCTGGGAAGCGTAGTGCACCCGTGGCTAACCCGTGGCTTCTTGCAGAAGATGCAGAGTAAAAAACTAGTACATACGATGCGCTAGTTTCCGGAAAACGTGGGGCAAGAGCGGGCGTCTGATTGCATTTCCACTGTAATCCCGTGGCATCCGGCGCCCGCCCATGTCCCATCGCAAACCGGATGTGGTTTTGTTTTTTTTAAGGTCTCCACAGAATGCGCACAAACGCCCACTGGCACATGCGCACACTGTGGTGAGGGGAAAAAAATTCCCGTTTGCCACGGAAGCAGCACCTAGCGATTGCCAGTGTGATCGCGCCACACCCCTTCTTTGCCACGCTGCAGGATAGCTGTGTGATCGGCACCTAATGGCATACCCATGGGACCTCCATGGGACATGTGATCGGGCTGCCGCACGTTACTTTGCTTTGGGGCAAATAGCCACGCTTCCCCACACACACACATTTTTCAGCACGTGTGACCGGGACCAACATTCTTCTTATCTTACTGTTATTCTCACTCAAAGTTCCTGAACAGATCAAAATCCACAGGCAATCACTGCAGCTGAATATCTAGAGACTGCTTAAGGTAGTTTTCCAATCCTCGTCTAGCAAGGAAAAAGCAGACAATTTGTTGAGATGATAAATTCACATAACCTGTTAAGGGGAGAGGATAAATGCCGTTGTGTTAGTTGAGATCAGATTCCATACTCCAATAAAACACGTTCTAAGGACTCAAGCTGACCAAATCCACATTTACAAACTCTGCCCCGGGAAAGTTGATTTGTGGGGTTGTGGGTAGAGTTGCCAGCTTCCAGGTGAGGCCTAGAATCCTCCCAGAATTACCATTGAATTACCACTGATCCCTAGACTACTGGAGAAAATGGTGGCATCGAAGGGCGGGCTGTATGGCATCATACCCTGATGCGGTACCTCCCCTCCCCAAACCCAGTTGGCAACCCTAGCTGTGGGACTCACTTAAACTAATAGTCATGGAGATCAGGGGGCTGCATTGTAGAGGGGTGAAGGGGATGAACTCACCCTTTCCATTTCCAACAGAGGAACTGCGCTGATCAAAGAGGGAGTAAAGGTAATTCTGCCTCCTCCTTCCTCGTCAGGAAGCTCCCAGCCCTCTACCGTCCCGGGAATCAACTTGATTCCTATGACTGGAAAGGGCTGGTGAGGGGAAGAGCCTCAGTCCTTGTAACCCACAGGTTGTTAAATCTAGCCCACCGGTTCTCCATCAATAGGGCAGGAGAACACAAAAGGCTATTGTCACGGCTCAGGTGGGGTGTCACCTGACGCTGCCACCACTCTGGTTTTAGGATCTCATGAGAAGGCCCAGAGCACCCTCCAAAGGTCTTCAGGCCTCCCTTGTTTGGCCGAATAATAGGCGTGAGGACCAGGCAGAGTAAACAACAAAGAAAAGGTTGATTTTACAGGAGGTCAGTCAAATGTAGGAAACCAACAAGGTGCAAGAACAATAGCAATAAGTGGGTGAAGAGAAAATTAACCAAAATGCCCTAACGCGACTGGACTCACGGTCCCTAGTTCACTGTCTCAGTTGGGCCTGAGTTGGCTCACCAGTCCTCTGAGGGTGAGGGTCTCTCCCAGCAGCAGCCTTCCCTCTGGCCCTGCTCTCTTGGAAGAAAGAACAGCTCTTCTTCTGTACCAGCTCTTTTATCATAAGTTCCCTTTCTCTGTGATTGGCTAAAATTGGCGCCAAAACCTCTCAGGGGCTTCCGGGAGTTGTAGGCCTGGCCTCCTCCCACTGTTACTCAGGCTCCCTGGGCCTGCTAGGCCTTTACTTGCACAGCCCAGATCATGACAACTATTAAGAGATAAGCTTTGGCCGCTAGCAAGAAGCATCACTTTCTTGCAACAACACAACATCATCACAGACACAGTGAAGCTGAATCTTAACTGGAAAGCAAAACAAATGCAGTTTTTATACACACAGTTGAAGGACCAGAGAGGAGGTGATGTGAAAGACCTCAGAAAGTTCCAGGTTCTGTCCCCAGCATCTCCAGTTAAAAGGATCAGGTAGGAGGTGAAGGGAAAGACCTCAGCCTGAGACCCTGGAGAGCTGCTGCCAATCTGAGTAGACAATACGATCTTGATGGACCCAGGGTCTGATTCAGTATAAGGCAGTTTCATGTGTTCATGTCAGGGAAGGGGTTGTGGCTTGCTGGCAGAGCCTCTGCTTGGCGTGCAGAAGGTCCCAGGTTCTATCCCCGGCATCTCCAGTTAAAAGGATCAGGTAGGAGGTGAAGTGAAAGACGTCAGCCCGAGACCCTGGAGAGCCGCTGCCAGTCTGAGTAGACAATACTGACCTTGATGGACCAAGGGCCTGATTCAGTGTCAGGCACTTCATGTGTTCGTATGAGGGTCTCAGTCAGGATAAGGCAGCTCCATCTGTGTTCATGGTAATGTTGCAAGCTTAGGAACTGAGAACCCAGCGTAAGCAAGATGTTTGGTACGGCCGATCCAGGGTTGCCAGCAAGCTTGGATGGGGGGGGGGGAACGGTTTGTCCCTTTAACAAACACTGAAGAAGAGCTATTCACCAGGAGATGCAGCTGACTTTCATGGCATGAAAAGCTTGAGTTGACTTTTCCCACACATTTTAAAAATCTGTATTAATGGGACAGGACATTTTTCTCCATGCCTGCTTGGCAGTCCTAATTGCGGACTTTGGTTTAACCAAGGCTCTGGGTGTGCACAATCCCACACAGGTGAGTTCTTCTTCCCTGCCTGACATCACGGGTCCCGGGCTTTCCTCCTCCTCCTCCTCCTGAACTGCACTAGATAATGCTACTGCGTCTGGTTGGCGGAAGGGAGCCCTTTCGTCCCTTCAGGATTCCACCTAGCCGAGGGAGAGCCCCGATCCACTTACTCAAAGCCAGACATGGACCAAGCCTCTGCAGAAACAGAGTCCTTCGTTTTCCTTAGTTCTTAAATCTAAGCAGCTAATTTCATCCCAGCCGGGGAGGGGGGGAGGGAGCTCGTTTGCAAGCTGTTGCGGTTTCTGAATATATCAGAAATGAAAGTTGATGGAAAATGTTGAGCCAGAAGAAAGGAAGCTAGAGAAAAGAGAGGAAGTAAAAGAGCATTGTCTGTTGCATCACCCTCTGCTGCACCGTCCTCCTTATTCATTAAGAAGTGCCTCAGGGGTGGGAAGGACCAGGCTGCTGGGACAGCCGACACCCGCGCGTCCTCTCCTTTGCCCTGAGCAGAACAGCGTCACGGGGCAAGTCAGTGCTGTGCATTTAAACATGTCTAGGGATGCCAGGCTCCAGGTAGGGCCTGGATTTCGACCGTAATCGGGGCTTTTTTTTCCCCGTCGGGGATCATGCTGGAACAGAGTTCCGGAACCTCTTTGACAAAATCCTTTTAAAAATGTTTAAAAGTTCGTGAGTTTTCCGGTATACAGGTTGAAAACTTCCTTTCCCCTTTGAGGGGAAAAAAAAGCCCTGCCCATAATCACAACTGATCTCCAGACTACGGACATCAGTTGCTGTACAGAAAACGGCAGCTTTGGAGGGCGGACTGTATGACATCACATCCCTCCCCCAGCTCTGCCGCAGGGTCCGCCCCCAAATCTCCAGGCATTTCCTGGCCCAGAGCTCTTGTCTAGGGAGGTCCATATGGCTTCGTGGTTCGTGGGTTAGGTCCGTGACCCTGGGCAGCTTGCAAAAGCCATTTCAGGGGGATGCGTTCCCTTGAAATGGCTTCTGCAAAGCTGCTTGGCGGACCGAGCCACAATCTCACCCACTTCCGGTTCACTTCCAGACATGAACTCCGTGGGCCTCCTGGCTGTCCACGGCTGTGTGTGTCAGCAGGATCAGACCAGGCGCATAGACCACGAGGCTGTGTATTTGCTGAACAGTTTGCACCTCGCCCCTTCCGTCTTAGGCCAGACGGACAAGGCCATTCTGTGCCCGCCTCTTGGCTCTCTCATTCAGCCACAATCCCGCCCCCCCCCCTTCATCTCCCTGCCACTCACTTCCTGTTGGGCACTTCCTTTGCAGGCAATTACGTTGCTCAGCACTGCGTGAGCGAAGATATGACGCCCGACTGTACACCATGCCCTGAGGGATCCTTCACGGATTGGGAAAATTCTGCAGGAAATTGTCGCGGGTGCCAACGCTGCTATGCAAGTAAGTCCGTCGGAAGAGAGACCGGATGAGTAGCAGGACTGGGAAGGTTGCAGGTGGGGGGCTGGGCAGGGGCAGAGCTGGGATCACAGGAGAGGAAGAAGTTAATGTAACGTAAACCAGCTTATGCGTATTTTTAACTGATATCCTGCTTTTCACCTTGATCAGGGACCCAAAGTGGCTTTTCACCTCATTCCCCTTTCCTCCATTCAAGCCTCACAATGACAACCCTGTGAGGTGGAGTTAGGTTGAGGGACTGTGACAGGCCCAAGATCACCTGAGAGCCAGTTTGGTGTAGTGGTTCAGAGCACACATTAATCTGGAAGAACCGGGTTTGATTCCCCCCTCCTCCGTATGCAGCTGCTGGTGTGGCCTTGGTCAGTCATAAGCAGTCCTCAGAACGGCTCTCATCCCCATCTACCTCACAGGGTGTCTGTTGTGAGGAGGGGAAGGAAAAGGAGATTGTAAGTTGCTCTGAGACTCCTGCAGGTAGTGAAGGGCCAGATATAAATCCAATCTCCTCCTCTTCTTCTCCTCCTCCTCCTCCTTCCATGGCCGAGCAGAGGATTCACACCCGGTTGTCCCAGGTATTAGTACATTGCTCTAACCACTGTGCCACCCCAGCCCTCTAACATGCAGAGAGTTCTCTGTGTGAGATTTCTTTCAGGCAACGAAATATGTTTCAGACTTTTCTTTTCCGCTTTCCCTAAGCTCAGGAATTAGAATAAAGCAATATTGAAAACCACATAAAATGAAAACACACAGTGATGGTGAAGATAGTAAAATCTTGATAACCATCCAGATCAACACGAGTTTTAAAAAAACCAAAAACCCGCAAAGCTGTATGGGGGGGCCCCTAATCCACTGAGTGTTCAGATTGCTCTTTTGCGGCCTGAGGATCCCTACCAGTATGATCTGCTCATAAGGAATCCTTTCTTTCCCCTTCTGAGTAGACTTGGGGCAGGTTGCATTGACCAACTGCAGCAGGACCCAGGACACTGTCTGTGGCTGTCCCAGCAACCACTATCGGACTAACGACAGCCCCGAGTTCTCCTGCAAACCCTGCAGCGCCTGTCACAACGGAACCATCTTGAAAAAATGTGAGTATGACCTGGCAGAAATCATCTCTCTGACTAGAACACTGACCGTTTTGATTGTTCCCTCCACAGTTTACTGTAGAATGTTTTTCTACAATATCTTTCTCGCATGTTGTCAGTGTTCTGGAACGATTCCTTCTCCTGCAGTCATCCTATGGGGTCAGCCATCTCTTTTCCTCTCGTTAACCAGAAACTGCCCTGTTCTGACTCTGAGGGCAGATCCATGCCCACTTCCCTCACCTCCGTTCTCTCTTCTCCCCAGGTACCACGTCCAGCGATACGGTCTGTAGGTGTCACAAAGGGTTTTTTCTGCAGACTCGGAAGAACAGCTGTTCACCGTGCAGCAGGTGAGGGGTTATGTCCTCTGGGTGGGGCTGTGTTCAGGCAGAGAGGCAGCTCCTTTAGGTGCTTATGGGATGGCATGCCGCATGTCAGTTTGGTGTAGTGGAGCCAGTTTGGTGTAGCGGAGCCAGTTTGGTGTAGCAGTTAGGAGTGAAGGCTCTAATCTGGGAAAAATGGGTTTTGTTACCCAGAATGAAAGGAGTTAAGCACCCATCCCTCTCAATTTCTGACCTTCTTTGGACAGTGCTCCCCCACCCCAGCTTAGGTATTCAGGTGGTGGTGGGTGGAGGCCAGTGCTCCCTCTAAGCTGACTTAGACCGATTTCACACAAGAGCTGTGCCGCGGTCACGCCTCCCTTTGCCCCGCTTCTTATTTATTTATTTATTTATTTATTTATTTATTTTATTAAATTTATACCCTGCCCTCCCCACAAAGGACTCAGGTCAATTTCCCACTTGAAGCCGCGTGGCCGCATTTTTACCCGCGGTTTCGCCCAGTTTTCCCCACGGTTTCATGATCCCGGTTTTTGAGGATCACTAAACCGCGGGTAAAATCCGGGGAAGCCGTGGGTCAAAATGCGGCCACGTGGCTTCGAGCGGGAAATTGACCAATAGAAGCGGGGCAAAGGGAGGCGCGACCACGGCGCAGCTCTTGTGTAAAATCAGTCTTAGTGTGAGCCAGCTCACAGTTTTTTAGCCTCTGACTCACATGTCTTTGTCTTAGCTCAGGAAGGATGGCTCCAGAGCAAACTAATGTATGCAGCAGCCAAATCACTCACTCACAACTTTAATGCCAAAAGCTCACAGAGTAGAATTTTTGCTCACAAGACTCTGCAGCTTAGAGGGAGCATTGGGAGGCTGGTGCTGTTATTATTCATTTATAGTCCTCCTTCCTCACCGGGACGCTAGGCAGATTACAAGTATGATTTTTTTTTAAAACACTCTTCGGTCAATCAGTCGGCAGATTACAAAATCTTAATAGCATCAGTTAATCAGTAAACAGATTACAACATGATAACATTTGACTCCCAACAGCAGAGAATCCTAGTAGCTGGGCTGAGCTGGGCTGAGATTGAAGAACAGAGGGGGGAAATCTGAGCAGTGCATGCAAACGTTTCTGTTTAAGGCAACAAGTCGATCAGCGTAGGAAAGACATCCTCAGGTAGACTGTTCCACAATATGGGAGCCACCACAGATGATTCACGCAAATGGGCAATGACCAATTTTAACCTGTTTGCAGAGAGGGATCTTCAGAAGGCTTTGCTCAAGTGAGCGAAGCTGTCATGGTGGAACTTGGCAAGGGAGGTGGTGCCGCAGGTATGTGGGTCCAGTGTCTTGAAGGGCTTTGTAGGTGATGGCCAGCACCTGGAATGGAATCCGATAATTGATCAATAACCAGTGAAGTATCTGCAGAAAGGGATATGCAGATTCCTCCCGGTACCCAATGCTCCTTCTAAGCTATGGAGTCTTGTGAGCAAAAATTCTGCTTTGGGAGCTACTGGCATTAAAGTTGTGAGCACATGATTTGGCTACTGCATAAATTAGTTTGCTCTGGAGCCCTCCTTCCTGAGCGAAGACAAAAATGTGTGAGCTGGAGGCTAAAAAACTGTGAGCTAGCTCACACTAACTCAGCTTAGAGGGAACACTGCCGGTACCTGATAGTAGACAGGTAATGACATTCTGTACCAGCTGTAGTTTCCAAGTTGCCTTTCAGGGCAGATCCATGTGGACCATTGCAGTAGTCTAGCCTCAAGGTAACCATAGCATGGATTCAACTGGCTTGTTCAGCAGAATCAAGATTATCTAGCAGAACGGGTTTGGGAATATGCGTTTGCTAAAATAGTGTATGTTATTTCTGCCTTCTGGTGACCCATTTTGAGAGACAGCTTAGATATCTTCATTTGGGTCATTTCATATACCCATGACACAGCCAGTTTGGTGTAGTGGCTAAGAGCGCGGACTCTAATCTGGGAGAACTGGGTTTGATTCTCCACTCCTTCACATGCAGCTGCTGGTGCGACTTTGGGTCAGTCTCAATTTCTCTCAGAGCTGTTCTCTCAATGGCAGTTCTCAAAAGAGCTCTCTCAGCCCCACCTACCTCACAGGGTGTTTGTTGTGGGGAGGGGAAAGGAAAGGAGATTGTAAGCCGCTCTGAGACTCCTTCAGGTAGTGAAGGACAGGGTATAAATCCAATCTTCTCCTCCTCCTCCTCCCTTCCAACCCCCCCCCCCCCCGACTACACCAGTATTGTCTCCCACATTGTCTCCAGGGCTTCACTTGCCAGGTGTCTTCTTGTTGAGTGGTGGTGAAATGGGGTAAGAAACCACGGTTAGCAGTGTTGTTTCCTGACCAACCCAAAGCTTGCTTTTCCATCTTTCAGCTGCCAAGGGGAAGAGTGCAAACAAGACTGTGATGTCACGTCCGAAAGCATATCGCCCCCGAACTCCCCAGGTGAGTTCTGGCATCAGCTCTCTGATACTTGACTGACTACTTTCCCGCTTCCAAGGTGCTGCTTAAGATTATTTCTTATTTAGGAAACATCACAATGCAGATGGTTACAATATATTAAAATATAATATAATTCTTCAAGCATGGTATTCAAAAGCCCCATCATAGCTACGGGCCTGGTGGAGGATGCCTTATTAGCTGCCTTGAAGAGATACGCTGTCAGATTGGGATGGATAAATGCTATCAACGAGAAACTGCCTCTAGTCGGTATGACGACTATTTCCATTACTGACTTGGGTAAAACAAAAGCTTCTTCTGTGATTAAAAACTGAGTCTTAGGAATTGATTATGGAAGTTTGATATTCAGAGCTTGTCGAGTTTGTTCACCTCTGTCATTTGGTATTTCTCTCCCGAGGCCCCTTCTATGCGTTATTTAACTATCCTGTGCTACTGTATAGCTTTTTTGTCTGCTAGATTAAATATTTTACCCTCCCATGTTTTTACAAGGAGGATTTTTTGAATAGGCCTTATTCTGAGAGAATCTACCCCTCTGGCCTTAATAAGGTTGACACATTGTTGCATGTCCTGCCTGAATGTTTGTTTGTTTGTTTGTTTGTTTTAGAATATTAGGCGTTACTGTATTAAGCCACTTATTATGGACAAGGCACTGCCCTCTAGCTTGGAATCTCTGTTTTATTGCCTTAGAGACAATGATCCTAAGATTACTTTGGCAGAGGCAAAAATTGTTTCAGTCCCTTTAATCCCTTGCATCCAACAAACAAAGAAGAAATGTGTTTTTCCTGCTGCTCAAGATTCGTACATCAGTGAGCTTCCAAGGGGATAAAGGGAAAGGGAAAGTGGCTGACAGCTAACTCCCGCAAACTCAACCTGCTTAATATAGACTGATGCTGTTAATTTCACCGTTTTCATTACATCGAGAACTCTTCTGAACCGTTCTGTTTTGCTAGGCCCATGGTTTGACTTCCAGTGGAGGTCTTTAGGACTGTCTGGGATATATCATAGGTCTCAGGGTGAAAGTTGGTACTGCTCTCAAGAAAATGCTGGGGGTTTTTTAGCCCTGACCTGGCTAGCCCAGGCAAGCCCAATCCCATCAGATCTCGGAAGCTAAGCAGGGTCGACTCTGGCAAGCCCTTGGATGGGAGACCTCCTTGGAACACCAGCAGTCGGGAGGCAGGAGGCAGGCCTTATTCAGCCACCTCTCTGGATATCCTCCAGAGGTCACCATGACTTCCAGGTGCACACACTCACACACACATGCACATATGAGAAATACACCCAAAAAAAGAAAAGAAAAAAAGAATATGTGTGGATTTTTTCCCGCACATGGCAGTTCCACAGCAGGGCAATAAATTTTGGGGAAATGGTCACGGAAGTTGTATCAGTTACACTGAGAGTCAAATTACCTTTTAGAGCTGAAATCATTCTACCATGTTATGTAAAAAAATGACTTCTAGATTTACACACGAGGTGTTGTCAGCAATGCTCCCTCTAAGCTTGTGAGCAAAAAATATACTTTGTGAGCTAATGGCATTAAAGTTGTGAGCGAGCGATGTGACTACTGCATCTATTAGTTTGCTCTGGAGCCATCCTTCCTGAGCCGAGACAAAAAGGTGTGAGTCGGAGGCTAAAAAACTGTGAGCTAGCTCACACTAACTCAGCTTAGAGGGAACTGGTTGTCAGACCACTTGACGATGGCAAGGTTGACTCTCCCAATGTGCTACTATTAAAATATGTAAGACAGACGTGAGCAGCTGGAATAGCCCAGACTAGACCAAACGTGTCAGAGCTTGGAAGCTAAGTAGGATTGTCTGTGGTTAGTACTGGGATATCCTGACCTAGATAGCCCAGGCTACCCCCATCTCGTCAGATATCAGAAGCTAAGCAGGGTCGGGCTTGGCTAGTATTTGCAAGCGTGACCTCCAGTGAATACCAGGGTCCTGACGCGGAGGCAGGCATTGACAAACCACCTCTGAAACATCTCTTGCCCTCAAAACAAGTCTAGCTCGCCACCCCAGCGGCGCATAACACTAAAAGAACTAGAACGTCTGGCTGCCGGACAATCTTAGGATCTCCTGGCTATTCCATATGATAATAACAATACTACTTGGATGGGAGACCATCGAGGAAGACCAGGGTCGCTATGCAGAGGAAGGCAACGGTGAACCACCTCTGCTCATCTCTTGCCTTGAAAACCCTCTGGGGTGGCCATAAGTTGGTTGCAGTTTGACCGCACTGAATTATTGCTGTTCCTACTCTTAATGCAGACCTGCTGAGACCCATCCTCGGCTGCCTGGTTGTCGTCTTCGCAGCTGCCTTCCTGTTGCTGGCAGTGAAGCAGCTCATCAAGCAGCCCATGCGGAAGAAGCTGATCTCTACCTTCTGCGGTGAGTATCAGCCTTTGCTGCGTGCTTCCACCTCTTCTTCTTCTTCCCGCAGTAATCCTTCAGGCATGTTGGGTCTTCTCCTTTTCCTTCTATCTCCTTTTGACTCTTTTGTCTTCAGACTTGTTGTTATGTTAAGAGTTGTGCTTAAAACTGTGTTTTTATCTGTATAAGCTGCTGTGCCAATGTGCTGCCTGCACCGGTATGCTAATGAGGACACACACACACTCCTACCCATGCTGCCTTGGGAACAAGAAGGTATTCTCCATTATGCTCAGCCAAAGGACTCTTTGAAAGAACAGGTTTCCCACCATGGATGGATTTCTGGTCAACACGTAACCCTCTGTATCTCTGGTTTGCATCTGAAAGTGACTTCTTCCTGTTTACAGCTCTTGGACCAAGCCAGAGCATCTGCACATCAAAGGTTTCCATGGCAATGCAACTTTGACACCTTGACCAAATTGTTCCCATTGAAGTATAAGGTAGAATTTGAATACTGCCCACTCCCTCTAGAATAGATAGATATGTCACATCCCAATGGCCAATAGCCATCCCCACCCCACCTAGGCAACTAAAGCTCTACTGATGGTTATTCTCACGTGCTTGGCTGGTTCCACCCATATGAAGTAGAATCCCTCTAGATAGATCTTTCATTCCCGCATTCCTCATTGAGAAGATCAAACTCTCTTCTGGATCAGATAAGTATATTCGTCAACCTTTTGTGTGCTACCACCCAGTGAGTCAACGTTTATTATTTCCCATACTGATTGCTTTCCATTTCTATTGTACCTAAAGGAGCTTGTGTGTTTGTGAGTGTGAAACAGTTTTTGTATGCTTGTGAATTCCAATATTATTCAGTAAAGACGACAACATTTATTCTTTAACCCTTCAGCTGTGTTGTCTCCTTCATTAGACATAGACAGTGTCTGTCTGATTCCACTCTCTGTATACACTGGTGTCCAAGAACCCCTAAGGATTAATCTTCCCAAAGAGGATTTATCCTAACAGTTAAACTTCTACGCTGGTGGCCTTCTCCTCCTCCGTCTTCACCCTCCTTTTCTAGTATTGCCACCTGCTCCGTCTGGACTGGAGGCTTCCTCACTGTCTGACCTTATTCTGAACTTCTCACTCCTTCCTTGCACATGTTTCAACAGCCTCTCAAAACTTTCCCTCCTTGATCTCTGCCTCTTCTCTTCCTCTCCCTTTTTTCTTTACAAATGGTTGTCTCTTTTTCGTAGGCTGTAAGCTCAAGGAAAGGATCTGTTCTGTTATATAATCATTGCACCGCACCTTATTTAACAAGTCAGTTTTATTTTTTTAAAAAATTATGCCAGCGTAGTTCTGTGAAATCCTGGGCAAGCTGTTGTTTTCCAGTGTCCCAGTAGCAACAGTCATTGCCTTACCCTACAAAGCAGGGTTTTCAGATTCTGATGGCTCCGTTTTTTTGTTTTTTGAGTGGCAAGGCAAGTTTTCTCATGCAGCGTCAACTTAAACAGGCCCATGGCTGTTTGTTTAGTCATACTTGTTGACTATGGAGCAGCACTTAATAGACAAGGCTGGTCGTCCAGAGACATCAGTCCCCCGTCTCCCCCCCCCCAAAAAAAGACAACACAGATAGCATGTGTATGCAGTAAACCGGGTTGGGAAATGTGTATGCAGCTCCGGGTTGGGAAATACCTGGAGATTTGGGGGTGGAGCCTGAGGAGGGTGGGGTTTGGGGAAGGGGAGGGACTCCAATGGGGTATAATGCCATAGAGTCCACCCTCCAAAGGGGCCATTTCCTCCAGGTGAACTGATCTCTATCACCTGGAGATTGGTTGTAATAGCGGGAGATCCCCAGCCACCACCTGGAGGCTGGGAACTCTAGCGTGCAGCCTCCATCCGGCAGCAAAATTCACCTAGCTCCATTCCAAGTCCAGCCTGTTTTCCTCTTTAGTTTTCTGTGTGCATGATGAGTAGGGATGCAGTGCTGGCAATTCCCTGGCGGGTTAGAGGGCAGAGTGTTCCTGGAAGGCACGTTCTGTTTCAGAACAGGAAAGGACGACATGCCAGTGTAGGAATTTCCAAAAATCTCTATGGTAAAACCAAAGAAGATGTTTTGAAATTTCTAGAGTGTCATGGTGCCACTTCCTATTCTGAAACAGGAAGTGATTTACCCATGCTGCTTTTCTCACCCATTTACCTCCCACTGCTCCACTGAGCGAGGGAGGGGGAACAGGGAGGTACCTGTCTTTGCCGGGTAAGCGGCAATTCTAGTGATTAGTCTCCAGCCCAAGCATCCAGTAGGTGGACAGTTACCATCATTTACTATTAGTGCTTAGTGAAGCAAGATTGCCCATTGAAGAAATAACATTAGCCACTTGAGCAAGAAAAATGAGAGGAGAAGTCATCTCCTCTTTCTGTTCTTTTTTCTTCCAGGCGCAGAGCAGCAGCCCTCACCAGACCCTCAGGTAAGCCTTTGCAATTTCTGCTCAAGACCAAACAAGAGGTTACATATGATCTGGTTGCCGTGAGAACTAGCGGCAGGAGGGCAGCCGAGAGATCACCTGTGGGAACTCAATCCTGAAGCACTGCATGGGCCCGAATCAGATTGTTACTACAGCTTCGGGGGAGAAGAGGCTTCATCCGCCCCGCCCCCCATGCCTTTTTCCCCAACCCCAAAACAGCCCCGTTGGGGTATTCTTTGCTTGGGGGTGGGGCTCCACATGCTAGTATCCAGTACAGTACATGTACAGCCCCCTGGTGGAGTAAATAACACCCCTCAGGCCATGTTGGTTTGGGGAAATGGCACAGGGGGAAGGTTGAAGGCCCTGCTCCCCCAGTGTCACAGTCCTGATTGGAACCAGGCCCCTGCAGCACTTCAGAACTGGGTACCCACAGAGAACTCGCAAAGGCTGGGTGGGAAACTTGGGCTCTATCAGGTGTATTAACAGCTTCCCAAAGGCCAAAGCACAGGTTAGGATTTTTAACATGTCACGTCTGGATTCCCCCTGACCTGGTTGCGAATCAGGCAGTCACACTCCCGGGGCGAGGGGACTCATCTTCCAAGGTGTTTCCTCTCTCCCTGCGCGTCATGAGAGGCACGGCCTTTTTTGTGCCGGCCCGGGTGGCCCAGGCTGGCCTAACCTCATCAGATCTCAGAAGCTAAGCAGGGTTGGGCCTGGTCAGCACTTGGATGGGAGACCCCCAAGGAAGGCCAGCGTCACGACACAGAACCAGGAAAATGGCCAACCACCTCTGAACGTCTCTTGCCTTGAAAAACCCTACAGTCATCCTCATTGGCTGTGACTTGACACAGCACTTTCCACAAACACTTTTTAGTTCAGGCATGGGGTGAAATCTTTTACGTCTCCTCATGAGGCATCCACGGCTGGACCCACCCATTCTGCCCTCAGTGCTGTGCCACAGAACACCTGGAAATCTGCTCTCCACGGCACGTGAAGGAAGGATGAGGGCAGACAGAGGGAGGGGAGCGGCTTTCTTTTGTAGAAAAAGCCCAGCAGGAACTCATTAACATAATAGGCTACACCCAGCAGCAGAAACCTATTAGCATATTAGGCCACACCCCATGCCTTCCCTTGGCTTGCCTGGGTGCCCCGCGGCTGTGGGGAGCCCGGGCAAGCCGGCCCTTGGACAGGCCAGGGGAGGCGTTTAAATGCCTCCCCGATCCTTCCAGGGGCCACCCTGGGCCGCCCGCTTCGGAATTGCCGGAGGGGGGTCGCTCTCCAGGCCTTCCCTCTGTAGCCACACACACAGAGGTTTTGGCTGTAGTGGGCGTGGCCAACCCTGAAGCCAGGCAGAACTCCATTCCTGTGCGTTCCTGCCCCTGGGGAGGGGTATAATCTTTGAACAATACATCATACCTGGGGAAATTGCCTGAATTCATGTAAATTCATTAGCAACCGTTAGGATGGTCTTTGTTAGAGAACGGAACATACGAACAATTCATTCCAAATGGTATGATAACAAAGAGTGGGAATTGGCACTCCTCGTCAAACTAAGACTCTATCAAAGGGCTTTAAATAAGTAGGTGAAGACTGGGGTCTTAACTCGCAGCACATAACAGATCACCTTTCTCTAACACGTGGGTGTCAAACGTACAGCCCGCAGGCCGGAACCCCAGGGCTTTTATTCGGCCCACAAGCAACTGGTGCTGTTCTCGGCCCCTGAGGGGAAAGAGGACAACAAGCGCCCCCTGGAGGTTTTGGAAACCACCTCTCTGTTAGGCCTTCCCTTCAACCCCACCGCTTCTGTGGGAAACCCAGGAGGGATGAGCCCCGGGGGGGGGGGGGATCTGGGAGACCCAGGCTTTTATGCGTTCCCCAGTAAATCCGTTGCTTCCACTGCTAGAAATCAATTGATTTTCTTTGTATTTTGAGTAAAAAATAACATTGTCAATAGAATTTGCCTGTGTCCTTTATAAAGTTTATATCTCCGGTACCTGGCCTTACATTTTTACGGCACACATGGCCCGACAAAGGGACATTTATGTCACATCCGGGCCTCGTAACAAACGAGTTTGACATCTCTGTCTCACAAGTGATATTTTTGGATGATTTAATTTACTTTGGGTCCGGTACTTTTTAGAGGGAACTTATTTTATATCTAAGCATGTTATGGGTATTTTCCTTGTCTCTGAAAACCGTGCATTAACTCTCTCTGTTATAAGTGCCAGTTGTGAAATTCTTTGGCAGGGGAGATGAGGCTTGAGATGGATTAGGGGGAGGGGAGAGCAATGCTCCCTCTTAGCTGTGGAGTCTCGTGAGCAAAAATCCAACGTTGTGAGCCACTGGCATTAAACCTGTGAGCGAGCGACTTGGCTGCTGCATAAATTGGTTTGCTCTGGAGCCCTCCTTCCTGAGCTAAGGCAAAAAGGTGTGAGCCGGAGGCTAAAAAACTGTGAGCTAGCTCACACTAACTCAGCTTAGAGGGAACACTGGTCAGGGGTTCCCAACATGGTGCCCATGGGCGCCATGGCATCCACCAACACCTTTTCTGGGACCCATCAGGGAGTGGGTGGGGCCAGGTAGGGTTTTAGCCCAGCAAGCCTTCTGATTGATTGTTGGAGATTTGATTGGCTGTGCTTGTTGCTTTGGCAGCAGCTTGCCACCACAGCACCAGGATCAGCTCTGTGTCTCCGAAGTTAAGCTGTGACACTCATTTTGTGGCTGGCTCCGTCTCCTGCAGCAGCCGTTTTGTCGCTGCACCCACCCTGCCGTGTCAGAACTCCAAAGGCGCCTGCAGGCTCGAAAAGGTTGGGGACCCCCAAGATCAGGTGCTCTGCCTGGTCTCCGTCTGTGTTAGGAGCAATGCTCCCTGTAAGCTGTGGAGTCTTGTGAGCAAAAATTCTGCTTTGTGAGCTACTGGCATTAAAGTTGTGAGCGAGTGATTTGGCTACTGCACAAATTAGCTTGCTCTGGAGCCATCCTTCCTGAGCTAAGAGAAAAATCCGTGAGCTGGAGGCTAAAAAACAGTGAGCTAGCTCACACTAAGTCAGCTTAGAGGGTACACTGGTTAGGAGATGCAAAGGTCTCCATCTGGTACGCAAGATAAGAGGTAGCAGCCTTGAGCTATGTTCAGGGAGATCTTCTAAAGCAGTGAAGTGGGATGAACGTGAATGCCGCCATTCCTGCACCAGTCAGCACTTTTAATGCTCCCAAACTGGTGGAATAAGCATTCAGTTGTATTCTCTTGGTCAACCCAATTGTACATCTATCTCTCTCTCTCTTCTCAGTTACCACAACCTGGGGGACAGGGGACTAGGATCCCTGAGAAATCAAACCAGGAAGAAACGCTGTTGCCGCCTAGAACCATAGCAGTGTCACCAAACACACAAGGACTACCAGACAGTCTACAACATAGAGGAGAGACTCAGATTCCAGACTGTGAGTGTGAATTCCCTTTTAGATATAGACGCTGGGGCTCTAAACTCAGTGGGGCAGAAAACCATCTGGGATTGTATTTGTTCTTCATTTCATGGCCCTGTCCCCCCCCCCCACGGGGATCCAAAGCAGTGCACATCCCTCTCCTCTCCTCCATTTTATCCTCACAACAGTCCTGTCGAGTGGATTAGGCTGAGGGTGTATGACGGGCCCAAGGCCACTCAGCAAGCTTCCGTAGCAGAGCAAGATTCGAACGTGGGTCTCCCAGATCCTAGTCAACACTCTGATCAGTGTATCACACATCTTCCCCGTGGAGATCCATCAAAAGCCAGAGGAGATGTGAGAGCCCGTATTTTGGATGTTACAAAGAAAGGCAGAAGAACAGAGTTAGGAAGCTCTAGCCATTTGCGCTTCCTGTTCTCGTGGGCCCCTGCCCCCTCCCCTCCGTTTGAATGCCAAAAGCTGCTCCCTGTATATGAACCTCATTCCTCAGTGGGACAGGCTTCCTCAGGAGGTGGTGGGCTCTCCTTCTATGGAGGTTTTCAAACAGAGGCTAGATGGCCATCTGACAGCAATGCTGATCCTGTGAACTCAGGCAGATCATGAGAGGGAGGGCAGGAAGGGTTCTATCAGTGCTTAGCTCTCGTAGCCCTTTCTTACACACCCAAGGAAATGCTAATCGCCACTTTGGGTGTCAGGAAGCAATTTTTCACCAGGCCAGTTTGGCTGGAGATCCTGGAGATTTTTTGCCATCTTCTGGGAATGGAACAGGGGTCACTGGTTGCGTGGGGGGGGGGTATTTGTGAATTTCCTGCATGTTTCAGAGGGCTGAACTAGATGACCCTGGATGTTCCTTCTGTGATTCTACCCACGGTTTGGTTTTCCATCTGAACTGTGATTTACATGCCCCCCAATGAAACACATTCACCCCATCACTTGGCTTCTCTTTCTTTATTCCTCCCCTCCCCAGCTCCTGCAGTTTTGTATGCCGTGATAGACAACGTGCCATTTTCCCAGTGGAAGGAATTTGTACGCCACCTGGGACTGACTGAGAATGACATACTCAGGATTCAGGTGGAGGAGTGGAACATGCGAGACGCACAGTACAAGATGTTAAGTTATTGGAGGCAGCAGTCGGGCCAGTGCGCCACAAGGGAGCGCATCCGCAGCGTCCTCCAGGAGATGGAGCTGAGCGGCTGCAGTGAAGTGATTCAGGAGGCGTGGTCGAGTCAGGCCAGCAGGCTCACGAGAGGGCCCCAAGAACGTGGTTCAGCCGTGCATATCTTTGTGTCCTGATGGCTGCAGCGTCTCGGGTGTGAACGAGCCATGGTGGAACTTTCCTGTTGCGCTGCATCGCCTCCGATAACAGTACTGCACGGTTCGCCTCTCCAGAATTCTGAGCAGTCACCCCATGAGCATGCATCTCTGTGTGGAACAGCCGTCAGCTCTTATTGTGATCCCTCCTCCTTCCTGACCTGGATTTCTGACCCCGTTTTGCATATGTGGTTTCTCAAAAATATTGCATATGTATAATCCGAAAGGAGATTATTTTCGTAAATTCCCTACCTCATGGGACTTGTGTGAGATGCCTGTTGAAGCAATGCCGTTTCCGGCCTTCTTATGCTCTCCTTTAATCTGTTTGCAGCCATCTCAGTCTCTCCCTCCCTCCCCTCCCTCATTTTCCTTCTCCATCTGGCTTTTATCAACGAGGCTGAAGTTGGTTCCTGATTCATTCCTTATTCCTTATTCATCCAGAAACAGTGAGAAGAGTTTGAAAGCGCTGAACCCCAAAATAAGACTTGGACCCCCAAACCTCCGCACAGCAGGCATAATAGTCCTTCCATCTCCACAGGGGTCCCTTGGAATTGCGACCTGTAGGGAAGAGGCCGTTTCTAACCGAAAATTTCAAGAACCCGCACCAAATGATACTTCCAAAGATCTTGGGGTGGGGTGGGGGACAGCAGAACACTTCCGCTTGTACCGAACTAGGGTAAATGTACTAAGTCCCAGCTTTCATTTTCCAAACTGTAAGTCTCTAGCCTCTCCATTTTGAAGTTGTAAGAGGAAAGGCGAAGGCTTGCTGTTGCCGCCTACACCCACACCAGGGCCACCAGCTTTATTCTAAACCTCCTCCTCAGTCACCAGTACTGAAAGTCCATTGCTATGACTGCTTCACTGCTTCAAGAGTGAGCCAGTATCACAGAGTCTAATCATCCAGATCCCAAAAAAGTGCCTAGAAGGGATTGGAGGTTCACGCCATGGAGGTTTCCTTAGGCTGGCTGCAACACATGTGCTTTGCAAGCCGAACGTTTGCATTCGGTCCTTGGCGTCTCCCATCCCAGAATCCCATAAAGCAGGCTGGAAAAAAGCTGTTGCCCAAGATCCAGAAGAACCACTGCCAGTCAGACCAGGACCAATGGACTGACCTGGGACAAGGACGCTTGATGTAATTCAGTGGTCCCAGATGGTGCTGTTCAGTACTTTGTATACAAAAATACAGCCAATGCTCCTGTCTCTGCGCCTGTATATATGCAAGTTTGAGAATGTGCAAGTTTGAGAATATGCAAGTAACGTTGCAACTTTTTGATTGATGTCGGACAGTTTTTTAATACACATATTTTTTCAGTTCTATGTAAACTGCCTTGGACATGAATTTAATGGACAGACAAAATGTAAATCTTTGCATTAAACAAGATGGAGTGAGTGAGTCTCTTTGATCCAATGAAGGAGGATGGATGGGTACTCCGTTTATGTTGTTGTGAATCCATCACTTCTGTGTGAATGACATGTACAACCACTACGTGAGGCTATCCAGTTTGGCACCCATGGAATTGTTTTCTAGTACGTTCACTGGGGTGTGCACAAAAAAAAAAATGCCTGTATTTTTCGGCTTCGGGTAAATCAGACCCAAAAAATATCGGTAAATGCTGAATTTCCCCATTCCAGTACTGGTAAAGTATTCGGATTGGGGAAATATTTGGTATTGCTGAGTATATTTGGGTCTCATATACAGCACCAGAGGGAAAGGAGGCATGTTAACATGCCTTCTTTCCCTCTGGTAGCCCCTAGAGATTACCTTGTCAACTTCACTGCCTGCGAGTCAGCTGTGAGTGATATTGAAAAGGGAGAGCCGCTCTCTGCCTACCCTTCTCTAGCTGACAGCTGGAGAAGGGCAGGCAGGGAGCCCAGGCATGTTTAAAATGCCGCTCTTTCCCTCCCTGAAAGGCATTTAAACCCAACAGCTGACTGGCAGCTCAGGCTGCTAGGTCTAAATGAGACCTTGTTTTTGGTATAGCAAAATGAACCCGAAAAAAAAGGCAGATAATATCAGCTTTTGGGGGTTCAGCTATTCGGCTTATGTGATATCCGATACCGGTAGCTGAATACAAATCTCTGATCCGAATTCGGCTTATGTGATACCCAAAAAATACTGTCAAGTTATTTTTGGGGTATTTTTTCAGTTTGGCTATTGCCGAATGCACACCCCTAACGTCCACTGAAATTAAACTTCCAGCTTGGTGAATATAATGACTCTTGTGTTTTCTGTTGCTCTCAGCCTTAATTACAGACCCTATATGTTTCCAACAGCACTTGGGGGGGAGGGTCTGATGAACAACTGTGTCTGTTATATTTGCAAAGGAAGAGACTCCAGTTTTGCCTCTCCATCCCAGGAACCTCTCAAGAGTCATGATTTTCACCCAGAACTACATCATCCAATGAGAGCTGCTTCTACACCACGAAGATGCTCTGTAGAGCTCTGGCCATTGCTACAAATACAGAGGGATTCATGGCAGCAACAGAGCATCCACACAGTGATTCTCCCCACCCTTGGCTTGTCCCTTTCTTGTCCTGGCTCCACCCCATCTCCCGCTGCAGCTGCCATCTCTTCACCACTGCTGGATGGTTTTTAAAAAGCAGCAGTTGGTAATTGAGCTATTGCTGTGGCATCATTACCGTGAATATCAATCTATTGATTAGCAATGTTAAGGCAGAGATAGAACAAAGCTTGGATTCAGTGGCACCTTTGAAACCAGCAACGTTTAATTCTGGGTGTGACGGGACTCAAACATTGTTCTATTGCTTCAGACCAGCACAGCTAAGACAGAGATACACCCACATTGAGGCACCAAATCTCTGAGGCAGGCACAAATGAGGGCCTCAGCCTCTACGTCTCAAAGTTTAATTCTGGATGTGAGCTTTTGTGTGTATGCTACTGGACTCAAACTTTGTTCTATTGCTTCAGACCAGCACAGCTAAGACAGAGATACACCCACATTGAGGCACCAAATCTCTGAGGCAGGCGCAAATGAGGGCCTCGGCCTCTACGTCTTTGTTGGCCCTCCAGAGTCACTGGTTGGCCATTGTACAGGATAAGATGCTGGACTAGACGGACCATTAGTCTGAGCCAGCAGAGCTCACTATGTCAACTGCTGATTTTTAAAAAGTGATGAGGAGTGGGGAATGGCCCCAGAGGGGGTCTGGGACAAGGAAAATGATGCTGATTGTGAGCATAACCTGAAAAAATACACTTTCCTGTCCACGTGGCCTGCAAACTGGCTTCGCCCACAATAATTCTTGAAAGATGGTCTCAAACCAGGCTTGAGAAAGATCATAGCAAAGCAGGAGGAAGCCTTGTGGCTGGGGGGCATTTTGGGGCAATGCCACCCCACACGTGAGTGTTGCCCCCTCAGACAAAATTCCAAGGGATTGAAAGTATTTTTGAAATGTGAGATGCTTCTGTGGGGTTTACAGTATGACCCCAGGCACAGTCAGGGAAGCTTCAGTCTTGTTTTCTTTTTTCAAGGCCAAAATATAAGTAGGTTTTTAAAATGCAAATAAAATAAAAATGCAAAAAATAGAGTCGGCGTCCCCCCCCCCCGCGGCGGTGCTTTTTTAAAAAGTGCTCCAGTTCAAATGTCAAAGCGAAACAAAAACTGTGTGGAAGCAACTGAAATCTGCAGTAGCTTCCTGGTTTCCATTTGATTAAAGGTACCAGCCGCAGACTTTGCCAGTGTGCTCTGAAAGGTGTGTTTGGATTTTTCTCTGGCTGACCCTGGTTGCTTACAACTTAGGGTGCAGTGGAAAAATAAATTGTTTTATTCAGTTATACCACCCCTAAGCGTTGGGGGATCTATAAGAATATAAATAAAACCAAGATAAAATATATTGCCATTAAAAAACAATTGAGAAACATGGTCAAAGTCAGTAAATACTGAAAATGTGCACAAATGACCACAGATCCACAAGAATATGACAGACCTTATAGAGGTAAACTACATCGCTGGAAACATAGCTCTTTAAAAAATTGTATGCATGTCTCCAAAACTTCCACAAGTTAGAAAAACATATAGAACTAACACGTAATTGTTATCAAGCAGTTCCAAAAACAGAATTTCAGAGAGAGAAGTGCAATGTTCTGATTCAGTTTTTATTTCTTGTGAGAGAACAATCTGAGGCTTTTATTTAACCCACGAGGGACAAGAGGTGTCAGTCTCACAATCCGCTCTGCCTTTTTGTTCAACAGTGCTTTATCCCTAAGGCATTCAGATCTAAAAATAACACAAAATGTAAATAGCCTGTTGGACTATGGCTATGTTCCAGAAAGTGTGGAACAGAAGAAGCACCTGTGGTGGGTTTGTTTTTTCCCAAGATGGGTATTACTTTCGTGTTCTGTGATATGTATTCTAAGTTTTCTCAAGGTTTACAACTTCTTGCAAGAGCATTTAATATACTCTAGCCCCTCTGAGTCACATGTGGTGAAAGTATTCAGGTATTGTTTCTTGTCATGCATCCTGAGCTAAGACAAAAATGTGTGAGCCGGAGGCTAAAAAGCTAACTCACACTAACTCAGCTTAGAGGGAACACTGCTCCGGGCTGTCAGAGAGGTGGTGGTGGTGGGTCTTCTTCCTGCTTCTGCAGCCGACTTTGGTTTTCCCAATGGCCCACCACCCAAAATTTTGTGGCTACAGCCCTGGGGGTGGCAGCCCACCTGGAGAATTACTGGCTTACATTCAGGTAGGTGGGAAGCCCTGTTGGTTTGAAGCAGCAGAACAAAGTGCGAGTCCAGCAGCACCTTTAAGACCCACAAAGTTGAATTCTGGGTCTAAGCCTTCGTGTGCGCACACACTTCCTCAGATACAGACATCTGGTAACCCTAGAGACGACAGACAGGCTCTGTGGAGGCCGAGACTGGGATTCAGTGTCAGTGACCCAGGGTTGCCAGCTGTGGGTTGGGAAATACCTGGAGATTTGGCTGGGAAAAGCACTGCCAGGGACACCGGTTGTGTCCCACAGTTGGGGAAGGGGAGAGACCTCAGCAGAGTATAATGCCACAAAGTCCACTCTCCAAAGCGGCCATTTTCTCCAGGGGAACTCATCTTGGTCGCCTGGAGACCCATTGTAATAGCGGGATCTCCAGGTTCCACCTGGAGGTTGCAAACCACACTAATGGATTTGATGAATGTCACTGTGAGATATGACTAGTGTGCTTGCCAAATAGATTAATATTATATAGGTATATTTCAACTGATAAAGTTATACATGCAAGGATATGTAATATGCATGGTTCCTTGGTGTTGATGGCGTTTGAATTGCTTCCAGTAAACTAAACATTGGAAAAAGAATTTACAAGTCTCTGAAGAACTTTGTTTGGCACAATACCACACGGTTGTTTGCTTCCTTTCAACAATCCACCTGGAGGTTGGCAACCACGGTCCAACCCCCTTTTTCTCATTGCCGGCATTCAAGTTGCGAGCGAGCCATTTGGCAACTGCATCAATGAGTTTGCCTCTGGAGCCCTCCTTCCTGAGCGAAGACAAAAAGGTGTGAGCCGGAGGCTGAAAAACTGCGAGCCGGCGCACACGGACTCAGCTTAGAGGGAACACCGCAGCCAGGCTCTGTGTGGGCGCGGAGGCGGCCGGGAGGGCCCAGCGGCAGCACTGCAGCCGCATGGTGGGGCCGCCTGCGCCTTCGGCTCCTCCCTTCCGGAGCGGGGCTCCGCAGGGAAAGCGGCTCCTCCTCGGTCGAGGCCTCTCGGCCGGAATTGGGGGCGGGGAGGAGAAGGAGGAGGAGGGGGGCGGGGCCGCTGGGCGCCGTCGCTGCCCGTTCGAATGCCGGCGCGGGAAAATGGCGGCGGGCAGGCCGGGCCTCGGCCGGGCCCCGGATGGAGTGGGGTCTGCGGCGTCCCCTCGGCCGTCCCCTCAGCCCCGGGGGCCCGTGCTGAGCCCGCCGCCCGGCCTGGAGCGCTCCCTCCGCCTCTCCGGTGAGTCCTCCGGCCGGCCTCGGCGGCGGCGTTGCCTCAGGCGGGCTCCGGTTTCTCCCCGCTCTCTCCTCAGCGCTAGCGCGGCCCGCCCGTCTCGACAGCCTCTTTCCCCAGCCGGGGGCAACGCGGCGGCGCCTCAACGTGCCGGTCGTTTGACGCGGCGGAGGGCGAAGAACCCAGACAGAACCGGCAGCAGCAGCAGGGTTTTGTTGAGTTTAGACTCGCCTTTTCCCCTTGTGGCGGCTGGCAACATGGTTCGCCAGCCTACCTGGCAGGGTGGTTGTGAGGATAGAGGGGGAGGGGGAGAGCGGTGTCGCAAGCCACCTTGGGGAGAAGGAAAGGGAGGTCGATTGGCTTCATTTATACCTCCCTCCTGTCTCCCTAACGGGAACCTAGTGTGGTTTACATAGCTTTTCCTCTATATTTATCCTCACAACAATCCTGTAAGGTAGGTTAGGGTGACAACATTGTTCGCTAGCCTACCTGGGAGGGTGATTGTGAGGATAAAGTGAGGGGAGAGGGATGTTGCAAGCCCCCCTTGGGGAGGAGGAAAGTGAGGTCTATTCACTTCATAAATACCTCCCACCTGTCTCCCTAACACTTTTCCTCTGTATTTATCCTCACAACAGCCCTGTAAGGTAGGTTAGGGTGACAACATTGTTCGCCAGCCTACCTGGCAGGGTGGTTGTGAGGATAAAGTGAGGGGAGAGTGATGTTGCAAGCCCCCCTTGGGGAGAAGGAAAGTGAGGTCTATTCACTTCATTTATACCTCCCACCTGTCTCCCTAATGGGAACCTAATGTGGTTTAAATGGTTTTCCTCTATATTTATCCTCACAACAACCCTGTAAGGTAGGTTAGGGTGACAACATTGTTCGCCAGCCTACCTGGCAGGGTGGTTGTGAGGATAAAGGGGGAGGGGGAGAGCGATGTTGCAAGCCCCCCTTGGGGAGAAGGGAAGTGAGGTCTATTCACTCTATTTATACCTCCCTCCTGTCTCCCAAATGGGAACCTAATGTGGTTTACATCGCTATTCCTCTATATTTATCCTCACAACAATCTTGTAAGGTAGGTTAGGGTGACAACATTGTTTGCTAGCTAGCCTATCTCGCAGAGTTGTTGTGAGGAAAATGTGGGAGATGGGAGAGAGATGTCACAAGCCACCGTGGGGAGAAGGAAAGTTAGGTATATTTGCTTCATTTATAACACCCCCCCCAGGTCTCCCTAATAGGAACCTAATGGGGTTTACATCAATTCCCTCTTATATTTTTCCTCACCACAACCCTGTAAGTGATAAGGTTAGGGTGGGAGTGTGTGACTGACCCAACATCACCCAGTGAGCTTTCGTGGCTCTGCAGGGATTCAAATTTAGGTCTCCTGGATCCTCGTTCGACAGTCTGACCACCACACCGAAGCACAGGGTGAAATAAATTCTGTAAAATGATGATCCTAATAGGAACCTAATGGGGTTTACATCGATTCCCTCTATATTTATCCTCACCACAACCCTGAAAGGTAGGTTAGGGTGGGAGTGTGTGACTGACCCAACATCACACAGTGAGCTTTCGTGACTCGGCAGGGATTCGAATTTAGGTCTCTCGGATCCTCGTTGGACAGTCTGACCACCACACCATACCGGCTCTCGTGAAAAGCAAGAAGCACAGGGTGAAATAAATTCTGTAAAATGATGATTATGTAGAATTGGTCACACAGCCTCCGCTACTTCTCGGGGTTGATGTGAGGATAAAAGGGAGGAGAGGAGGAATGGGGTGAAGCCGTTTAGGCAGTAAGGGAAGACAATATATTTGGATTTGAAATAATCCCTTTCCATTGTGCTCTTGTGGCATTTCACTCCTCTTTTGCTTCTGCTTTGCACAGTGAGAGCATGCTTCAGCCATTAAAAGTTTTTGCTGGAATAAAATTTTGACAACTTCTGCACAAGGGGTTTTGCTCTGGTTTCATGCCTAAACTAGCAGGAAGGGGGAGCGCCCGCAAGACTGTCACCTAATTGTCCACTTTTTGTGTCCTGTGTGTCCCCCCCCCCCCCCCCCCCCCCCCACTTTGCCCCTTTCTTTCCTAAATCCAATTTGGAACAATCTTTTGGAAACGATTCCCAGCAACACACCTTTGGATGCCCTGCGGATGGGCAAGTGTGTACATTTTATCCGCTTGCCTCAGCACCATTCCCCACCCCCCATCACTTGGTATCTGACATATCACTGTAGTATAAAATCTGTAATTGACATATGGCTGCCACTGAGGCTATAGTGATATGTCAATTACTGCTTCTAAAAGAAAAGCCAGAGAAAGCCTGCTGATGCTGATGGGGAGTGTGGCTTGGGCAAGGCAGGTGTGTATATGGGACTGAGTGGACATTCCATTGCCTCTGCAATTAAATCATTAACTGGTGATGGAAGGACTGTGGTCTCCTGCTTGTTTTTGCTGTAACTAACTAACAGGATTGTGCCTCTGGACTTGTTCTATCTTGTGTATCTTTACATAGAAATCTCACAGGGTCTTTGAATTCCCCCTTCTTTTCTACTTGAGTGTTCCCTAACAGAAAGCTACACTTCGCATATTGGATGCCTGCAAAAACTGATGTCGTATAAAGTCTTCATCATGTCACAAAGACTCTTTGTTACTTTCAGCAGAACAAACTTGGAGTTCAGTGGCACTTTTAAGACCAACCAAGTTTTATTCAAGGTCTAAGCTTTCGTGTGCATGCACACTTCATCAGATGAAAATACAATGCGTGCACACGTAAGCTCGTACCTTGAATAAAACTTGGCTGGTCTTAAAGGTGCCCCTGGACTCCAACTTTGTTCCGCTGCCTCAGACCAACACAGCTACCCTCCTGAATGTTATGTTTTACGTATGCTATACAAGAGCCTTTTATGTTTCCAAAATGCTAGTAAAGGCAAAGGTTTCCCTTGCTCAAAAGCCAGTCGAATCCGACTCTAGTGATGCAGTGCTCATCTCTGTTTCCAAGCCAAAAAGATGTTACCGTGGTCATGTGGCCGGCATGACTAGACACCAAGGCACACGGAATGCTGTTACCTTCCCACCGAAGTGGTACCTATTTATCTACTTGCAATTTCTAGCTTTCAAACTGCTAGGTTGGCAGGAGCGGCAACCAGAGATGGGAGCTCACTCCGTCATGCGGCACTCGGGTCTTGAACTGCCGAACTACCAACCTTCTGATTTGCAGTTCAGTGTCTTAACCACTTGAGCCACCAAACTGCTGGAAGACTGCTAATCTGATGCTGGGTTTCTTGTCACCTCAGGCCAAGGTTCACGCATGAATATACCTGATGACCAAGCTGATAAACTGCTGCTGGCAAGCTGGGGGCTCCCCCAAGCAGTCCTGGAGAAATACCATCGTTTGGGAGTCGTGCGTATGTTCCAGTGGCAAGCAGAGTGCCTAATGGTCGGGCAAGCCCTGGAGGGGAAAAACTTAGTGTACTCAGGTATGTTAGTGGCTGAAAAAAAGGACACATTCTTGTGTTGCCTCTTGAATCATTATCTGTTTTGCTCTAGGTGGCATTCACAACACTGTACACAACTTCCCATCAGTGTCAGACAAGTGAGTCATGTGATACACGTCTTACCTGGACGATGTTGGAAGTTCTGTGTTCAGTGTTCCTAGCAATTCTTTACAACTTAATTTTCAGACATGCACCTTGCGTGTCTGAAAATTAAGTTGGGGGGAAAACCACAGGGAGCTGCAAACGTAAAATTCCTAGTGCACATCTGGAGAAACGACGGCTGAGGGTTGACATGATTGAGGTTTATAAGATTATGCGTGGGATAGAACAGGTCGAGAAAGAAGTACCTTTCTCCCTTTCTCACAATACAAGAACTCGTGGGCACTCAATGAAATTGCTGAGCAGTGGGGTTAGAACGGATAAAAGGAAATCCTTCTTCACCCAAAGAGTCATGAACACATGAAATTTAGTGCCGCGGGAGGTGGTGGCGGCTACAAGCATGGACGG